AGTTTTCAAATGGACATTAGTGAGCAATATGGTGTTTGCCAAATACTTGAACAAATTGCAACAAAGTTATGCCATAAACAAGACACAAATATCACCATCTTAATTTATTACTTATCCGCGTCCACGGCACAAGATTTGTATCGCCCTTGATCTTCAAGGTCCCACGAAGAGAAATGAACTCGAACATTATTAAACAACGTCTTCTTCCTTGTGAGTGTGAATAACAAGGTCGGATCTCGGGTATGAAATACAAGTCAGCAAATAACCCTTCTCCATTTGATCATCGTCGAGAAATGCTCCTTCAGATTGGTCAACTGTTCCAGAAACCAACTGGCCAGCACAGGTACAGCAAGACCCAGCCCTGCATGAGTAAGGCAGCTCCACTCCAGCTTCCTCTGCTTTATCGAGGATGTATTCATCATCCGCGACTTCAATTTCATTCTCTTTACCGTCAGGGCTAATCAGCTTCACCTTGTATGTTGCCATTGCGGAGACTTTGAAGGAGGACGACGACTTCAAGCCAAACACTTTAGAAATACTCTTTACGGAACCTAAAGAGACTTGGGACTTGGTAAAGGCAGATGATCTAATTGACGGTGCAACTTTGAGCAAAGAACCCGATGGAATGTTTACCGTCGACATACCTCCACCTACATAGGGTTATTTGATCTATTAAGTTAAATTAATCTGTCAACATTATTAAACTATAATGTAAAGGAAAATCTTTCCACAAAATACAAAGAAGCATGTGTTGTGTGGATGCAGATGAACAAAAAGTCTTAAGGATGGTTCTCAAACTCCTTTACTAGGTCACATCTAATCGATAGTTTTCAAAATCACGCAGAGACAGCATAAGAATAGCAGAGATTTGTTTAGTTGGTCCAACTTGTATCCTGATGTTAATGCAGAACAACTTCAGGATTTTACTAACTCATTAGTTCTGGCTTAGATAGTTTATATAGTTAGCTAGAGATTTTTTTTGTGCAAATGCCATATCTTGTAAGTCTTGCATCTTCTTGATGCTGTTATTAATACCACTTATCTTATAAAAAAAAAAGAAATAGCAGAGGGTGCACAACATTCTTTTTATGCCATTCCATTCCCCAAATTCTGTCGATTACGTATGTATTAGTAGTCATGAACCAGCAAGACTCTTGAATGTCATTAGTAACCATATATCCCTGGTATATGTCATGCACAGAATGCCAGTGGTAAATCCCCAAACACATAGTTTTCACAAGTTTGGGCTGCAAGATGACGTTTGAGTTTGGTTTCTAAAATACTGAACCGATGGAGATGATAATAGCATAGTACTAAGTGGTCAGAACCCAACAGAACCAAACGATTTGTATCGACATCTTCAAACGAATCAAGGTGGAAAAAAGGGTACTAGTTTTGAGAATGATAACAGTAAGAGTATTGTCAATCTTTAGAATGAAGACTGTGCTGAGCCTGAGGGTCATATTTATAAAGTAAAATAGTACTATCTGCCTTCAAAACATCCTAGATCAGCATCCCCTTAACCCATCCCACTTCGCTCCCGGCTTTATCTACCACTTTATTATAAAATTACCTTGAATTTACAACTAGCACTTCAAACAGACCAGTTCAATAGCCACTTGACTTTGGCATTTGGCACACTTCTCATATACAGTGATTGTTTCTGTACAACACGCTTTTTTTTATGACAAGGAACCTGCACCACTACACTTTAGGTGCGCACAGGGTAAACCCCGCTCCTGTGCAATAGCTTACAAACCACACAGGAGAGATAAACAACACTAGGCAAGCCCCATGCGACAAGCTCAACCCAAAAGGCTGACCCCCTTGCTGTCGCAGGAAAGGGATTTCGAACTTGAAACCTCCATTATGGAAGTCCAAAGCCAAACCATTTGACCCAACATATCGTCTTCTTTTTGAGAAGTCACATATTTCAAGTGAGTAGGTTCAATTTATGAGGCCTGACATTCTAGGAGCAGTAAAGAAAAAAGATTTTGGACCTGACTCAACTCCAAAAATTAGTTCAAGATGTGAGGGCTATCCAAGACCATTTAAAGATACCCTCACAACCAATATTAGACTATAACAAGCCTCGCACGCCCAAAGTTGGACATCTTGAGCATGGATAGTGCATCATGGGGTCCAACAATGGGTGACCCAATACCAAGGATTAGTCATAGGCCCATAGCATGTTAACAACAATAGACCTCGGACCTAACTCAATCTTAATTGTTCAAGACCGTAAAAAGAGACTAAAACCTTTATCTTCACAACAAATGTAGGACTCTAACCCGTTTCGCCATTGATGGTATTTCACATATTTGGAGATTATTTCAAATAAGTGCTCCTTTATTAAATTGACTCATTACGTCAACTTTATACTTGAAGTTTCACTCAAAAAAACAAACTTTAACGGTGATTTCATGTCCAAACACTACTACTATCTCCAAATCCTACTTTTTTCCCCCACAACTACAAAAAGGTAACCCTAAGATGATCATCACATGGCAATTGAAAACGAATGAAATCAAATGGTTCTATTTCTCAATCTTTCTAACTTGCTCCTACGAAACCAAGGTCGAAATTGCAAAAATCAGTCATTCACAACCACTGATGAAGGACAACTCGTACTCATAAGCCGGCGGCCAATGTAGCATTATTCTTTACACAACAACAACAACAACATACCCAATGTAATCCCACAAGTGGGGTCTCCATAGGGTGTACACAGACCTTACCCTACTTCGTCGAGGTCACTAGACTACCATTATTTGTTTACACATTCATATAAATCCCAGATCTGTCTCTAGCAGTTAGACTACCACAACAAACAACACTAACAAAAGAGCCATAACCAAAAAAATTAAAAGCACACAAAAAAGCAAATTTGATCCAAGAACCAAACACCCATTAACAAAATCAACAAAAATAAACAACCCCACAACCATAGATCAACTAAATCATGCAAATCCACAAATAAATCACCAAAACAATCAGCAATAAAACAGAGAGAAATTAAAGAAAACTTACAAAAATGATTAAAAATCTGAACTTTGAATCAAAGAATGAACTTTTCAGCTATTCCTCAAAGAAAGCTTCTCTTTTATGAATCTCTGAATAAATTCCAATACAGAAAAAGAGGTTTTTGTTAAAACTGTGGCAGTGGCAAACAAGTGGAAGAAAGTCAAGAACCAAAGGAGCTGTCGTGGTCACGTGATCTTAGTGGGCCTACGGGTTACATCGCACGTGACTTTGATCTTTTTGGGCCTTTTGAGGAAGAATTTGCACATAATAACCAATTTAAGGGACGATTTACAAGAATAACCCTTACAAATGAGTGATCTTGAATTTCTTTTCTCGTTTTCCCGAACCTTGAAGGTTAGCCCATGGAATAGTGGCTCTGACAAATTTTCTTCTCGGTTACTTTAAGGGTGTGTAAAATTAAATATACCCTCACAATAGATAACATTTAATTAGCCTTTTTACACCACATAATTTTTTGATGAAGATCGTGCACCGAAACACCTTTCGCCAAAGGTGGCTCTGTTGATACCATGGAACAAGGTGTGTGTGTGGGGGGGGGGGGGGGGGGAGGGGAGTTGGGTGGAGGTCAAAATTCAAAATTACGTATTTTCAAGGTTAATAGATGAAATATAGATAGATTTTGTGTTACTATCTAAAATCTATTTAGTTTTTTCAATGAAGGGAAATTTGAACTTCAATATTTGGGTCTAAAGAATTGGCTAGTTTTTAAATTTTAGTCCAACAAGTTTAAAGTAAGTTGTTGGACCCTAATTAAGCCTAACTTCAGACTCGGCTTTAAAGTTCAAAATTTAAAATATAGTTTCAATCTTTAGGTCTAAAGTTAGACTCGATTCATTCCCAATTTTTTAACTTTAGTCCTACGTCGTATCTAAATTTGATTATGAAGTGGCTAAACATTAATGTAGCCTCATGTTTTGTTTTTTTTTTTTGTAGTTTGAAGTAGTAGTTGTATACCTTTATGGGTGCGACTTCAAAATAGTCAAGTCAATAACTTTTGGACACCATATAATTATAAAAAAATTATGTCCACTTTCTTAAAATACTTAGTTATGTATGTAAAGACATTGCATGCTTACATCTTTTTAGGCAATTATAGTCCTCATAGGCTTGCATAGTCTATTTTTTAAATGGTATTCCCTCCCTTTTCGAATCGTGAAAGTAGTTATTAAATGAAATGTGATCATTCTATGAACGTTGCTAGTGTTGGATGTTTTGTGCACCGTGTTGTCCTCTCTCCCCCCCCCCCCCCCCCCCCCTTTCTTAATATTTGAGTAATGGAGCATATGCATCATCTATTGTTAGAAAAGAAAAAATTGCTAACAACATTCAGTTCAAATCAGAGTTAACCTACAACAATAATATACTCAATATAACTCCATTACTCCACAAATAGAGTCTGAGATGGATGAGGTGTATGTAGACTTCATCCCATTTTTGTGGAGTAAGAGATTGTTTTCAATAACCCTCGGATGAAAAAATTATTTTTCAAATAATGGTGAAGAAAATGCAAGAGTAAACAACTATAATAAATATATTAAAGAAATATGCTATCAGTACAAGCATAAAAAAAAATAAAAAAAAAATAAAAAAAATAATAAAAAATGAAAGCATCATATAATACTAATGTAATAATAATAATAATACCGGTAAGAAAACAAATAAATGCTCCAATGGGAACAGACAAATGCTCTAGACCAGAGCTAACCTGTAATTTTTTGTCTTTTCTTTTGAAATAAGATTTTCCATAGCAAATATACTAATTTCATGGAAACATCGATCAATATGAAATTTGAATTTTTAAATTTATGAATTCTTGATATATATATATACAATAATAATAAATATTTTTAATATTGTTAGTGTACATAAATTAAATTCAGTAATATTTTATATATATAAATGGGAAGATACTCTAAATGGTGTTGTTGGTTAAGATTTAAGAAGTTGAAAGCACAATGGCAACATCATCACTTGTTTCTTTGATTTCCAAAAAAATCATCAAACCCTCTATTCAAACTCCTCTTCCTCTTAGATCTCACAAACTTTCCTTCCTTGATCAAGTTTTTGATATGTCCATTCCTTTTGCATTCTTCTACCCCAAAAAGGACGGTGACAAGTCGTCTGATGAACCTAGTCATGTGTCTCAACTACTTGAGAACTCGCTTTCCAAAGCGCTTTCATACTATTATCCTTACGCAGGAAAGATAAAGGATGATTGTATTGTTGATTGTAACGATGTGGGAGTTGAAGTCTCCAACGTTCGTGTCCATTGTCCCATGTCCGAAATTCTTAAACACCCTTATACTGATGCTGAAAATGTAGCTTTTCCACAACAACTACCTTGGAACCATCCGAATGAAGGAAATCTAGCGGTAGCTCAAGTTAGCTATTTCGATTGTGGTGGAATAGCGGTTGGTGGATGCTTATCACACAAGATTGGGGATGCGTGCACTATTAGCAATTTCTTTTATAATTGGGGGATTTTGAGTCGTGACAAAAGTGTAATGCCATCTCCTCATTTTGTAGGAGAATCTATTTACCCCCAATCTAATGATCCTTATGTAGTTTCAAATATCAAGCCTGAAGAACCTACGAAATATTTAGGGAAAAGGTTTGTTTTCCCCGCCGCTAAAGTAAATGCTCTCAAAGCCAAATTTTCGTTTGATTCAGGAGTTCAGAATCCAACTCGCACTGAAGTTGTGAGCACGCTAATTTACAAATGCGCTCTAGCTGCAAGAACAAGGAATTTCGGTTCATTTAAACAATCTTCTTTGTTTCAAGTTTCATATATGCGCGAAAGGCACAACCCACCTCTATCACAAGATGCATCGGGTAATATTGTATCAGGCTTTTCTGTGGAAACAACTAATGAAAGAGACGTAAATTGTCCAAGACTAGTAAGTGAATTGAGGAATGAGAAAGAAAAACTTGATCAAGACAAAGCGAGGGCAATAGAAAATGCATTTATCTCAGAAGTAGTTGATTCAATTGAAAAAGGGAGATCGCCATTCAACAATGACATGCTTGATTATTATTTTTGTCTTAGTTTGAATGCGTTCCCCCTTTATAAAACAGACTTTGGTTGGGGGAAGCCAACTAGAGTGAGCTTGGCGACGGGTCCCTTCAATAGGTGGTTCCATCTAATGGATAATCAAAGTGGAGGTGGCATTGAAGCCATAATCATGTTGGGCGAACTAGACATGTCTGTATTTGAAACAGATCCGGCGCTTCTAGAGTTTGCCACTCCAATTTCAAATCATTAGTACTCTTTTTCATCTTCAGCTTTAAATATTTATTTATTTTAATTTCTCCAACTTCGATAAAATATTGTCCAAATAAAGGATCTATTAGTCATCCTCAATCGTTATTCGTTTTTTTTATATATATATAAAAAGTGTATATGCTGTGAAATTCATTTCAACTTGTGACCTATGCAAAAGTGATTTAATTTGTGGTTAATTTTCTAGTTCCTTTCCTAGGAAAATTCGAAAACTAATCGTCTCACCTATTTTTTATGAATACAAGTTGTAAAATAAATTCATTGTATTATTATTTTATATAGTTTAACCTATAATAATAGATTGTATCTTCTCATTATCATCTTTATGTGCCTCTTTAAATATATTATATATAAATTTTCTGCGTAATTTATGAAAATTAAATATTCTTAAAACATGCAGTGTCCTGCTCACAGTTTCTATTAGCTCATAGAGATAATATTTTTAATTCAACAATAAAAATATGTATTAATCAAATTCATATTTATCTTTCTGTTAAATAAGATAGATTGACCTTCAAACATTATAGATCAATGAACTTATAAATTATTAGATGCTTTTTTTATGAATGTTAACTAAATATCATAAAGTAAGATTTATTATCTTACTTTAATACATGATTTTGTCTTTTTGTATGTAAAAATGGAATCTTTGTTGGTCCCAAAATGATTTTTATCTCTTTTTTTGTCTATTCTTTAGAGCAATCATACCATGATATTTATGTATGATGTGATTGGTGTCTAGTGAGCGTTATTTCTGTCAAAATAATATTCCCTCCGTTTCACAAAAAGAATGACTTAATTTAACTTGACACGAAATTTAAGAAAATAAAGAAGACTTTTAAATTTTGTGATCCTAAATTAAAGTTATGTCAAATATACAAAATTGTCATTTAATCTTGTGGCCTTAAACATATCACGTGGAAAGCTTAAATTAAAATGTTACCAAAAAAAATAAAGAGATCGTTTTTTTAAACAGACTAAAAAAGAAAGGAGGTTGTTTTTTTAAAATGAAGGGAGTAGCTTTTAAGAAGTTTATATTATTAAAGTAACGTTCCAAGAGGAACACAAGTTAAGCCTTAGGTAAAAAAATAAATTTGCAAAGACACAAATTATTGTATGAACTTTTTAAAGTATAATGTTTTGAAATTAAATTTATGTCTTATAGGGCCTAACCTGACCTAGCAATTTATTTTTTGCCTTGCAAATTTTGCTTGCGTTGTGATTTTTTAATATTAGGGGCATTTTGACGGCAAATTTATTACTTAAAGCGTTGAATGACAAAAGTTAAAGATCACCTCACCTCAAAATAGAAGCATTCTTATGAATGACCCATTTTGCATTCCTAAAGTTCGAGCCCAAAACTCTAATAAAAAATAAAATAAAATTCAATCATCACATGACCACACGACTCGCCAGTGGAATTTGTGTTGAAATGATCTAACGAGTCCCGAATTCCCGACTAGTATATCAAACATGTCTAAAAGTTGAAACCAATAACAATCCGATAATCATAATAGCTTCAATTACTTGACTACTCAACCTTTCACTGAATTGAAAAGAGTTTAAGGAGCCCAAAAATTAGCGTGGGACATCTCGCTACTAAACTAAATTAATCAAATCCCAAAATAAGTATCAAACCCAAAATAACAAAGAAAAAAATAAGTAGACAATCTTAAGAAAATACATTGTCACATTATTATTATTATTAAAATCATAAAAACAATCCAAAGATCCTCTAATTACAATCAATTATTTTTTCTCATGATTCAATAGTGCCTTCCATATATCATATTTTATACTATCATCACCACAAGGAAACAAGTGTCCAGCATCTTGTAATTCATGATAATTTATCCATGGATTTTTTTTTGCAATATAGTTTTGTAATTTAACAGACACAATTCCATCTTCAACTCCATGCCATAAATGTATATTGCCATCATTATTATAAAATGGATTTTTCATATCCATTGGATCAAATTCAGGTTTACCAAAACCAATAATTAGGTCTCTATGGAGTGACTCAAATTCTCCTTGTTGTGTAACATATGCCTGCATATAATTAAAAGAGTATCAAATAATTTACAAATTCTTATATTTACTACCAAAAAAAAATAAAAACATTTTGATGTACGAAACATTACAATTTATATAGTGTGTGATGAGAAGGAGTGCACCCCGAACCCTAATTGATCGAGTAGATATTACTGACAAATCAATGTCTGTAGAAAATTCTTATTTTTTAGTAGTTGAATTTTATCGAGTAAATAGTGTATCGAGCCACAAAGTTTTCTTTTTTGTAAATATTGTAAGTTGGATGACCATTCAAGAAAATCTATAGTCTAGTGTGATAGGAGACCTGTCATGCCTCGTCATCTTTCCAGTTTTCGATAGAAAGTTGATTTTTCCATTAAATTTTTTTTCTGGGAGGGTAGGGTTAGTTAAGTTGGAAGATTTTATATAATGACAAAAAACAACGTGATCATTTGAGAAATAATTAACTCAACGAAAAGCTACATTGCTCTTGGAACTCCTGTGTCAGATCCTTAAAAAAAAAACATAACTTTCAAAGGACCTTACATGCACCCGATGATATTTATAATGAGTCTGAACAACAAAAGACGGTGATAAATAAATAAATTAAAAGGAAAGAATTATGTACCTGCTGAAGTTGCATCTCATCAAGTGAATAGGCAATTTTGAGATCTTTTTGAGACAATTTAAATTCCCCAGTAATAACACTAAATCCAGGAAAATATTGTTGTGTATTCCACCAATACATAAGCCATGGGGCATAATATGCAACTTTATAAACCCATTGATCTCTAATTAATTGTTTATCATAAGCTTCTTTAGTTAAATTTGATGGAAATCCTGGCCACCAATAATTAATTGCTGGTGCTAATAATGCAGCTCCTGCTAATCTATATATGTATACCAAAAAAAAAATGTAAATATTTCTTACGTCGATATGTGTATAGAACTTAAACTCTATAAGATTAATCAGAAGAAACAATGATGTTGTGAAGTAGCAAAATAATAACAAATGTGATTTAAGTTGTATACACTATACACTGATATAAAGGTTATTTTACGCTATCATTGAAATTTAATATGTGATAACATGTTAATTAGTTATCAAATTTATCAGAGTTTACCAAGAGACTTACTTGTAATTTCACCTAAGTGACCAAAATTAAAAAAATAGCCATTTTCCTTACTTGTAATTGAAAAATAACTATAAATTCAAAAAATCATTAAAAAATAGCCAATTTTTTTTAAATTCAAGAAATTATTATGAATTTGAATTTAAAAAGGCGAAACTCTCATCACAATATCCTAAATGAATTTCAAGGCATGGTTATGAAGTTTCACTTCTTGAAGTTCGAAATTCATAATAGATATATTCTGATTTTTTTCACCTACTTAAGTTCGAAATCCATAAATAAACTATCATCATGTTTCCACATTAAAAGTGGCTATTTCCTAATGAATTTTTAAACACCGTCTACTTTTCAAAAATTGATATGAAAAATGGCTAGCCGATACAATATTCATGCACTTCATCTCTCAAAGTAAACCTTTCAACACAAGATCCATACTAATCAAATCCCACAATAAATATTGAACATCGAAAAAAACAAATATAACAAGAAAATGACATATTAGTAATAGTAAAATTTGATGTTACCTATGAGGTATGTACTTAAGGCAACCCCAAACGAAGTGTGCACCCATTGCAAATCCAATAACATAGAATTTATTTCCAAGTTCCAATTGATCAGCAACTTCTTCAATATCAAGAGCTAAACTTTTAAAACTTCTTTTTGGATGAGGATCACTTTTACCATAACCTGGTCTATCAAATGATACAAAATATACCCCTAGTTCTTCAATTGCTTGCTATGACCAAAAAAAAAAAAAAAAACATTAGTCTAATTTTTTTTTTAAAATCTTCAATCAAGCCTTGAAAAAATGTAAAAAATTCAGGGTATTTTTGGTATGAGAGGAAAAGAAATTGTGTCTTGAAGACTCTATGAGACTAGCAAAAACTTATCATTAAAATCCCTGTAGCCAAGTAGATTCACTTGTATCTGGAATACATAAACAAATCTCCCTCACTTCTTTCTCATTTCACTTGTCACTCTCATTCTCGCTCACGTATCTGGTAATCCAGATCTGGTGTGATTCACATGTATCTGGGATAGATAGACAAATCTCGCTCACCTCTCTCCCTTATTTCAGTGTATTTGATAGCCAAAAACATGTATCTAAGTGTATCTGACATATGAAATTATTAATTAGTGAAATAAACTATAGAGAGATTCTAGTAGTAAATATGATATAGGTATGTTTATGTTTATGTAATTATGTAGTTTCTCTTTCTTCTTCTTTTTAATCGTGAATGACTTCTATCATATCAAACACTCGAAATAATTCAATATATATAAGTTTTTATACATACCGGAATTATAAGTGAAGCTTCAAATTTGCTACCACCAAAGCTATGAACATATATAACATTATACTTAGCAATATTTTTTGGCACACCATATTCTTTGTACACCAAATTTCTTCCATCTCTTAGCTTGATTTTTGGTGTTTGTGATGGAACACCAGCAGTACTACAACTTCTTGGAGGAGGGGGGACAATAGCTCGATAAATTAACGATAAAAGTACAACCGGTAAAGCCAATAGTACAACTCTCTTCATCACGATCACAAACACGAACACGAACAAGTACTAGTACAACTTAGAATTTGTTGTTATAATAACTAGTTATATAATAATAGCAAAGTTTTTGAAATAATAACATAAAATAGCTAGTAACTCAAATGTGTTTGTCGATATATAATAATAATAAAGTTTTGGGAGCCCAGTGTTTTTATTTTATTATATGATACAGTTGGTAAGTGGGACTGTGGGAGTACGTAAAAGGAGTCCGTCCATGCCCCCCAACCACCCTGCGGGATATATAATTAATTTAAATTTATATCGCGTAACATTTATTAAAACGAAGAGTGTTCTTTATTAGGATTATTAATCTCACCACGTCCTTGATGGTATCAATATATCCAGTGAAATCTTACTAAGTGTTGTTTGATTAGGATGGTAGTGTATACACAGATCTTACGACTCAAGTGTATTAAATTCATGTAAAAGAAAAAAACATAGTCATTAATAAGAAAAGTAGTTCAAAGTCTAAAAAAAGGAGTATAATAACAAAACATCAAAATAGTGTGAGATATAATTGAAAACACAATTAATTAATGACAAAAACTATAAGAATACGAATAGTACTAAGATTACTATCCTTTTATCCTAATACACGACCTCTACTTCTTTCTTATCTTAAGTCATTTCTTCAATAGTATGAAGATGTGACAGGTCATTGATGGTATCAAACGTTATAATTAAATATACATTTGTTGCTATCTTTGATATAGGTACCCTTCAACTTTATTAATGCTAGTGTAAATAAAATATTTCTTTCCTTCTATTTTATGTAAAATTATTTTTTTGTTACTTCATTTTTATAAAAAAGATTTAAATCTTCTTTGAAAAGAGTTCTTCTCAGGAGGACTGATTACCCGCTGTTCAAGAAAAATTTAAAATATTTAGAAAATGTATAAAAAGTATTATAAGTGATAATTTTACTCATCATGTCATTATGATGTTGATGAAAATATAAATTTAAAACATTAATTAAAATTTAATTAATATGAATTCCGAAAGTAATATTATATAATATGAATTTCGAAAGTAAAATTTATATAAATATAAATTCCGAAAGTAAAATTTATATAATATGAATTCCAAAAGTAAAATTTATATAATATGAATCTCGAATGTATGAAAAGTATTATAAGTTATAAGTTTCATTTCATTGTCAAGTTGCTCTTGTCTCTTAGCTTATATATATATATATATATATATATATATATGTATTTTTTATTTTTTTTTGGAAATGATGAGTAATTATACACACAGAAATAATTGGCAACGACAATAATTTGTGATAGAATAATTAATAATCCTACGTTATGGCTATTTTTTTCTTTTTCATCATTTATATATAAGAAAAAAGTAGTGTTCGAGTCAATTTATACACACTTCGATAATTTTATTGGATACGTATTACCTCCCAAATAACATGCGCGTGTACCAAATAATTTGCAGCGCGAAGACTTTAGTTTACAAATATTTCTAATGGTACAACAACAATGTAACATATCCAATATATTACTGTAAGTGAGGTCTGAAAAAATGTGACGCGCGTGAATGCACATCTCACATCGAGAAGTCATTTTTAATTGATAGACCCTCGACTCAATTAATGGATCAATATTTTCTTTTCATATTCATAATGAGGTTACATACAATTTCTTTTCGTATTTGTAATGGTAATAGACCAATATTTTCTTTTTATATTCGTAACGAGTCTACAGTACATATATAGTTGCTAAATATTATAAGTATTTGAATATATATATATATATATATATATATATATATATATATATATATATATATATATTCAATTATTATTATCATATTAATTACTTGATCAAGGTCGATGCAGGAAACAATAAACTTCAAATCCTTAATTCAATCCTAATTAACTCTAAAATCAATTTGAGAAATGAAGTTTATTGACATAATTCTAGAAGTGTACCAACTAAAAATTAAGTAACCAAAAAAAGAAAAGAAAAGAAAAGAAAAAGAATGAAGATTTAATAATTCAGGTGATATATATAGACAGATGAATATGGCAAACAAGAAATAAAATTTTTTATACCACTTGGTACTACTAGTGATATATCTTTTATTTGTATTTGTATTTTACATTCAATAACTTATGATTAATTTTCATAAGATTTATAATTTTAGTAAGTTAATATGCGATTAGGTGAAATAAGCTATTTTTTCATCGTATTATAAGTTAATTATTGGATGTAGATGTTGTTGACGAGTAACATGTGTTTTGGATGCAATTTTTAGGTGACGGATATCTGAATCTAATATTTTTTTATATTGAAATTAGATATATGTAAAAAATAAAATAAAATACTAAAGTAATATTTTAAAAAATTAAATATAAATTCATAATTTTAAAAAACAACAACTTTGGCATCATTGAATTAATAAAATATAATTCAGGTAATTTACACCATGAAGTTATTCAAATAATATCTACAGATATAACTTCATAAGAATATAAGATTTGAAATCTTGAAAAAATATGATATGTTACCTGCTACAACAAGTCGTCAACAACAATTATATACCCATTGAAATTCCACAAGTAATATGTACGTACACGTAGTTGTACCCCTATTTTATGAATTACAGATCGATTATTTTCGATAGACCATCGATCAGTTCATAAAGTAAATCATAACAAAACAAGAAGAAAAAAGAAAATATGTTACCTTCTGCACCAGATGAAAAATGACTCGATATTTACACTGACGGAATGTATTACTTAAACTCTTGATCTTTATTCAAACTTAATATTAAAAAAGAAGTATTTAAACATCCAAATTAAAAAACTAAGACTTGACTAAACAATTTTACTCAAAGTTAATTTTTTTCCAGCCAAAAGGGACTTCCATATAACATCTTTTACACTATGATCACCATAAGGAAAAATATGTCCAACATTTTGTAGTTCATGATAATTTATCCATGGAAGATTTTGCGCAATGAAGCGTTGTAATTTAACAGACACAATTCCATCTTCAACGCCATGCCATAAATGTACAGAGTCTTCGTTGTTAGGGAACAAGTTCTTTAGATCCATGGGATCGAATTCGACTTTACCAAAACCAATAATTAGGTCTCTATGGAGTGATTCAAACTCCCCTTGTTGTATAACATATGCCTGCATTTACGTATTGTCATGAAACAAATGAAAAAAAAAAAAACATCAAATTGAACGTACTGAAAATCTTATGAGAAAATATTAGACGACTTTCAAAAAAATTATACATTATTACAAACGTTAGACACTAGCCTTATATTTTGTCTATAAGGTTGAGAAATATATGAGAAAATAATAGATCGATCCGAGTATAATTTTGTTATAAGGAAGGGTAAGTTTCTAAGGACTATATTTGCGTCTTTTAAAATAGGACAAAATCTAAATGAGAGCCTAAAAAGGGACATTTTGGTAAAATCATCCAACCATAGAAGTCCGCCCAAAGTTAAAAGCAAGAGATGGAAAATTTAAAACCCGATATCCTCCATAAATTCTCCGATCCAAATGACAGAGAAGTCTCCATATTTAGTCCTTCTCTAATTTTGTGTTTGGAGGGGTGATTGTACTTTAAACTACCAAAGAAATTAAACCAGGATAAACTAATATATGATCGATCATGACATGTCGAGCATTTAACAAACCTATCCTCAGGATTTAAGACCACGTCTTTTGGTACATTCTATATGGACTCAAAAGTCTGCTTTATTTTCGTAAATACCGTGTCAAGTCAAAACCAGACAAACAAAATTGAAATGTAGGGAGTAACAAAAAGAATAATAGGTATGATTTATGCACCTCTTGAAGTTGCATCTCATCAAGTGATGTATCAATTTGAAGATCTTGTTGAGACAATTTGAATTCCCCACTTATAACACTAAATCCATGAAAATATTGTTGTGTGTTCCACCAATACACAAGCCATGGGGCATAATGTATAACTCTATAAGCCCATTGGTCTCTAAGTAACTGCTCATCAAATGCTTGTTTAGTGAAGTTTGCTGGAAATCCAGGCCACCAAGGATTGATTACTGGAGCCAATAGTGCAGCTCCAGCTAAGCTACCAATCGATAATCGAAGAACAAAAAACCTCAGAGATAGAGAATTTATTGGATCAAATTTGTTCCAATACTATTTGAAATTGAGCAACTTAGTACTCTTTCTTAAACTTTTGGTCTAATATTATTCGATGGTTAAGGAAAAAACTCATTTCCCCCCTTACGCAACTATGTCAAAAGTTGAAGGGTAAATTTGTACTTTTTTCTTGAAGAATTTGGATATGTGGGGTCTACCTATGTTGCTACGACTCTTCAAACATGTTGATATGTGCATGTCGGATCTGATATTAATCACAACTTTTTTTGGAGAGTTTCAACTTTCAAGCAACATAGAAGTCCATCCATTTTATGCTATAATTGTAAGACTGAGGCCAAACATAAAACGATTTGCTAACAACCAGGGTATAAATGAATGTACTAAAAGTGTAACGGAGAGCAAAATTTAGCATTTTTGAATAGGAAAAAAGGGCAGTTCAGTGCACAAAGACACAACTCACAACTGAAATCAGGAACTTAATTATGATAAGAACAACAGATTTTCAATGTAGCCCCCTTGACCTGCTCAGAAAAGCTGATACATTCTTTTGAATATTAACTAACAGCAAACTTTGCTTTATCGAAGTCTTCATCTCATAACTGAGAAAAACAAATAACTGAGATAAACTACACGCGAAGTGATTAGCACAATCATCAACACAAGTTGATTTTAGACCAGTTCAATCTCCATAACATATCCAAATACTTAGATCCATATCTAAACTAAGAAGTTACTTCTAGTTGATACAACAAGACACTAGAAATCTTTAACAGTAGAGGATTGCAGATTCAAAATAAAGCTCCGTCGTCTCTGCTTTAGTAGAAGTCTCATATGTTTCATCAGTATAGATATTCGCGGACTCACTTCCACTTTACCATACCTTCTGAACATGAGACAGTCTACCTTCTCTAACAATATGCATCATAAACAGGAGAACAAGGAGTGGCAAGAACATCTATCACCCTATTTTCTATATCCTTATAGAAAGGTATGCAACCATAATAGACACCTTCCCCCCTGGTTTTCGTGACAATATGCATCACAAAAAGATCACACCTTTTGCTATCTTCACACAAAGCAAAATGGAGTATAACATCAAGACATGTCAACAACAGCACCACAAAATTCCTTCCTAATCTTTTTGCACAAACACGATAACCATACAAATTCGAAAACCTAAAACTTTTTGCACAACATGATAACCATCTTCATTCACGAAAGGTTTATAACCTCTTAAAATTCAAATCTTTCAACAGATAACAACCAAACCAGAAGAAATTAACTAGATACCGTAAAATTAACACTGCATAATTCAGTTTTCTACACTCTTCTCAGTAGCTAAGACAAAAAATTGAATCACAAATCAAATTGCAGGCTGCAAAATGCCAACTTTTTCAGTTTAATTCCTTTCTGCAGATATCAAAATACCACTAGCAAAGAGAAAAGCATGTAAATTAAGAAACAAGCATACGCAATTAGCCCGCGATGCTCATCTCCATACGAAGCCAGCTCAACCAGAAGCCTCGTGCAAACCCGTGTTGACCATACAACAAAAACTCCGGTCAACACCTTGATCACCAATCCACCAGGCAAAAACAGTGATAGCGCCGATAATATCACAATGGGCAACATACAATAACCAATCAAGCTGACACATCTATACAAATTCAAGTTCCCATTTCGACCAGCGAGCATATTAAACACTACATATAGAAACATCGAAGCCATTACAACCCATCCCAATATTATCCCAAAATGGATCTTTCCAGCTAGCAATTGAAACAACCCAAACGCCATTAGAAATATGAACGGTCCAGAAAGGTCACCATCTTCGTGAAGATCTGGTTTGATTCGAAATGGGTTGAGAATTGAAAGAGTCTTCTGGTAAATTTGCTTTGTATTAATCCCAAGCTCCTCTAATAGCGGCGGTTCATCTTCAAATCCAATTGATCCACCGCCGCCACCGATGGTAGCGGAGGCGAACTGGGGAGTGGAAAATGAAGTTGATGCAGCTGCTGATCCAATGTCGAATGACATGAAAGGTATTCCAGGGTTTGAAGATCTCGGCGGCTGAAAAGGAGCCGTCGGTGGATTAGCCGGAGGACGGCGTTGCTGTACACCGGGATTTCCGTCGGAGGGGAATATCACTGGAGGAACGTTGAATTGTTTCGCCATTGATCGGAGATCTGAAATTGCAGGGAAATTAGGGTTTTTTTGAGAGAGGTTGAAAATGGAATTTGGGAATTGGAAGAGGAGAAGGAAATGAATATGACCCGAAATTCGAAGGTTCGGGTCGTCTCAAAAGTATAGAATAGATACAAAGGCACACTTTTCAATTTTATGGGAAGTTTGTTTTGATATCGTCATTTAATGTGTATTCATTTTTCAATTTTTTTTTGTTTATGTCCAATCTTAGATATACATGTTTGAAATTATGTCTAACAAAACTTAACTTTGGAAACAGTGTGTGCCGTTATAAATATTTCAAGTTCAGATGATTAAACTTCAATCATTTCTTATTTGAATTTTATGCATGTATGATTAAAATCCAAGAAAGAATAAATGAAGTCGGATAAAAATAATCGAACTTCAATTATATATATATGAATTTTAGTCATATGATAACTTCCGACGCAATAACTGAAGTTGCTCCTTTTCAATAGGCACTACATTCGATTTTTAGCGACAATAGCTTAATTGCCGTTAAATATATATTTTTAGTGGCAATTACTACTGACAATTATATTTTAGCACTTTTTATAAATGTTGCTAAAGTCTATAGCAACATTGAATCTAATGATAATTAACTAATGTCGGTAAAAAAATTATTTTTGTTGTATTGAAGCTTTACGTACCTTTCTTTTTGTTTTTCATCTAGTATCTTATATTCGCATTGAAATTCAATAATATTCGAATTTGTTTCAAAGGAATTCCACCTTAGTAACAAATGTAATTTCATACTACAAATTAAAGTTAATTTTTTTAGCCGAGAATAAAATACTTTGTATTTATCATTTCACCACGGTATATATCTATAGCTTCATTATACATGCTAGGAAATGTTTTATACAATATGATATATAAACATATCAAAATAGTAAGTACGTACTAACAAATTATCTAAATTATGGAAGACCATATATTATAAGATAGACTTCTGGCGTATATTAGTGCCTTATTTCAGTTGAGGAATCCTTTTCGTCGAAAAATTATATTGTATAAACAAAATAACGAGTTTTTACACCTTATTAGGGTGGATGTTATATATCGTTTTATAATATATAACATTATATTGTATTGTATTCAGGGGTGTATTTATGGAGTTCCTCAGGATCACGTGAACTCATGCTCCTCTCCCTAGATCATACTCCCTCCGTCCCTATTTACTTGTCCATATTTCCTTTTTTAGTTGTCCCTATTTAGTTGTCCATTTTGACAAATCAAGAAAGGACAACAAATTTTTTCCTATTATACCCTTATTTACACTTCTTGAAAATTGTAAAAGTGTATGTTGTTTCCCTCCAATTTATTTCACTTGAATTCAAATAAGTGGTTGTAATTTTGAAGTGAAAAGTTGTCATAAGGGTAAAATTGTAACTTCACTGTACTAATCATTGTTGCCTTAATCTGTGTGCCATTTCTAAAGTGGACAACTAAAAAGGGACGGAGGGAGTATATAATAGTGTCATATTTGTTTTAAAATATTTAAATATAGATGTGTGAATCCACGCTCAAAATATCATATAATGCGATAATGGTTGAGTGCATCTTTGTAAATGAGGTCAGAAATTTTAATCTTATACTCCCTCCGTCCCATTTTATATGTCACCTTTTTACTTTGTACTTGCATTAAGAAATGATGTAACTTTACCCTTCTACCCTTATTTAATGTTATAAAATGACAAATATTGTGGTCAACTATTTATAGAAAAGAATGACATAAAATGGGATGGAGGGAGTATTTTTTTCTTTCTAAATTTGGGCAAAACCTCTATAAATGGTTATTGATAACATTTTTGGAGTTTTAATTAATATAGTTTTAAAAGTTTAACGGGTTCTTTAATAAAAACCTAAAGATCAAATAAGACAATTTATACCTTCGATCTACTTTTTTTCATAATAGTATACTCATCCTCTTGAAATCTTAGATACACCTATGTCCTAACTCATAATTTATTTAATATATATTTTTTAGAAAAATGATGCCTAAAATTATTATTCCTTTATTTAAAAATAAAAAAATAAATCTTAGGTACCTAAAAGAGAGTGTTGAAAACATGAAAGGAAGAAAACGCATTTGTCTCATGCGATTTATGAATGATGCGTTTCATTCCTTTGTTTTCTGTTTTATTTCTTTTTACATTTATTTATTACTTTTTTTGTTTACTTTATTTGTTTATTATTTCAAAAATATATTTTTACTTTTTTGCTCGTCACTTTTAATCTATTAAGATAAGATAATTATTGATTTTCGATTTTATACTCAATATTAATTACTTATTCACCAAATTATTATCAATATCTTAACTATTCATTAATTAATATGACATATCTAGGGAATTTTCTGGGCTCATGTAAACTCATGCTTCCTTCTCGAGATAAATATAAATGTGTGAACATGCTTAAAGTATCATATAATGCGACGATGATGAGGTGGTACCTCCCCAAGTGAGGTTTGAAATTTAAATCTTATATCTTTTTTATTTCCTAAACATGGGTAACACCTATAAATAGTTATTGATAGCATTTTTGGTGTTATAATTAATTAACTTTTTTTGCTTTAATTTTTTCAAAATTTTCACGTTTGTCACATTAGATTTTATTTATTTATAATTAAACTAAGTATGTATGATAAAATTAGTTGTGCTTGATAATATATCATACAATCAATCTCAATACCTTAGACATGGAAAAATTATTTAGACCTATAATTTTAATAGTTTGACGAATTAGTGATAAAATCCTAAATGTTAAATTAATTAAATTTATATCTTAAATTCACCGTTTCATAAAGTGTACTCATCCTTTTAAAATCCTAAATTATACACCTCTAATTATATTATATTATTTTGATAAATACATAAAATATTTGGATAAATTATAAGTATCATTTTTTATATTTCATAAAGTCAAACACCAACAATGTGAAATATAAAACTTACCAGAGAAGTATGGTATATGAATGTAGAGCTATTAGATAATAAATAACACAAGATCCATTCTAAAATGAAACTTTTTATCGTTACATAAGAATGAATTTAATAATATAATAAAAAAGATTTTTTACTTTCTATATCAATCAAAAAACTATAATATTCACAATACAATATGTAACAAGTTGTTAAAGATTCCAAAATATGTGAAATAATGATAAATTTATGGTCCAAAAAAAGTTTCTTTCAACTCCCTAATAAAATGGAGAATAAGAATATTCTTATTTATTATTTATATATTTTATTTTATATATATTCACGACCTTGTACTGCATGAAGTACTACATGTACTACCATAGAAAATTAAATAATAATTGGATGATTGTACTGCTTTAAAATCTGATCTAAAAAATATAAGGTAAGAAAATTATGTTTTTACTTTACAAAAATACAAAAAAATAGTCTTTATCTTTCTTGACAAAATTTATTTATTTATCAAAACGCAACTCAATTATGAACAATGAATCATATTTAGGAAGGAAAATATAAAAGTATAAGTACGATTTTTCTTAAAGAGGTTTAAAATAAACGAATTAGCCTAAGAAAGTTCATCAACTATTATTTATAACTAAAAAATAATTTAACTATGTATAAATAGTGTAATTTTCCATCAAAAGGAGTTCCATTGTTTGGATAAACCCCTAGCCCATGCTGGCTCCGCCCCTGGAAAAATCGAATGATTGATAGTTGATTATGTTTTAATAAATAATAAATAATAAATAATAATAAAATTAGAAAAAGTAAATATATGATAATTTGAACAGAGACCTTTCCGGATATAAAAACAAAAAACGCACACACAATATAGAAAGAATCTATTTTTTTTCTCCTTTTCTCTTTGTATAAATTAGCTGCCTTTCACACCTCTCAAATCACAGAAAATCAAAGGTCAATTTTTTTCTCTCTAACTTTGTATAGCACCATTTTTCTTCTTGAAAAACCTCACAAGTTTCTTCTCAAATCAACCTAATCATGTCTCAGGTACTTTGAATTTACTTTCCTTTCCTTTTTATGAAATTTTGAATCTTTGATATGTGATATGAATTGGGTATTTTTCAAAACATGATTTTGAATTGATTCTATGAAGGGGTTGATGGATTTTGCATTGTTAGTGGGAATTTTAATTTGGGTTGTTTTTGTTTTAGCTGAATGTAAAAGGGGTTTGAATGAATTTGTTAATGGATAGAAAATCCCTAATTAGTTTGAGATTCAGGTGTAGCTCATTGATTGATTGATTGATTGATTGAATGGGGGGTGAGGGGTTGGGTGGGGTGCGGGGTGCTGGTCTATCGGAAACAACCTCTCCGCCTCCCAAGGTAGGGATATGGTTTGTGTCCTACCCTCTGCGGACCTCACTTGTGGGATTATATTGGGTATGTTGTTGACTTCTTGTTGTCTTTGATATGTAAAGAAGCTAAGTTCAACATTCAAGTCTTGTTTTTGATGGTAATTTGTTGAAGTGTTTGATAAGATTTGCTTGTTTAATAGGAATTTTGATCTGGGTTGTTGTTGTTTTACCTTAAAAGATGTGAGCTTGGAATAATTTTTTCTTTTAATTGGAAAAAATTGAAGCTTTACATGATTTTTGAGCTCCGACTGTTTGATGATGGATGAGTTTGTTTGTTTACTGCTGTGCCTGGTGTGAGCTAGAACAACTGGTCCGTTAACGAGTGTATTGATCGTTTCAGTAATTTATTGAATTGTTTAATTATTCCTTTTCAGATGTAATGATAGTTTGATCATTTTCCTTATAAATTGGTTGATTGATTATGAGCTTTTTTCCTTTTGTTGCGATGTTTAGGCTTCTGGTTTTCCTCTTCCATATGTAAAGAAACTATGTTCAACAGTAGAATCTTGGTTTTGATGATAATTTGAAGTACTTTGTTGAAGGGCTTGATTAGATTTGCCTGTTTAGTAGGGATTTTGATCTGGGTAATTCTTGTTTTAGCGGAAAAGATATGGGCTCGGAACATTTGTTTTGCTTAACGGGGAAAAAATGAAACTTTACATGATTTTGAGCTATAAATGTTTGATGATGGATGAATGTGTATGTTTACAACTATGAGTGGTTTTACTAGGAAAGCAGATCCATGAGTTTTGATTAGCTAAATTCAAGAATTCATTAGCTAGTTTGAGTATTTTCCTCATTAATGAGCTAGTTTAATACATTACCTTCTGTTTTTGGTGAATATTTATTTCAGATTAGATATCTAAAGATCTACGTTCTCCTTTTTTTGAATTTTTCTGGTTTAAGAGTTGGTCCAAGTCATCCCTTGAGTGGCTAAATATCATTGTTGATCTAGAATAGAAAGAGAACTCCCCTGTGTCTATTTGCATCCATGAGGGAGATCTTTCAGTAGTATCATAACAGAACTGAATTTACTGATTCAGAAGAGTGCTTTTATAATAAGAGTTTTTCAGAGAAACGAAATATGAATTAATTGATTGAATTTGAATGAATGAATTCTTTGTTTTTTGATCTGGCGTTTGGTTTGGGGGGAGGAACAGTTCTTGTGAGTGTTGTGACTCCGTTGAAACCTTAAAATGTAAGTATGTTAATCTGGCAACAGCTTCATGATGTGCTGCCTAACAGCCTAAGTGATGAGTGTGCTATTTTGCTTATGATTTATGTTATCATAACTCTACATCTCTGCAACTGTCAATCTAACACCGATACTTTTACCCCTTGCCTAGCAGACTGTTGTTCTCAAGGTTGGCATGTCATGCGAAGGCTGTGTTGGTGCTGTGAAAAGGGTTTTGGGGAAAATGGAAGGTAAACAATTTTACTTAGAGTCCTAGTGATTTACAACATTTAACTTTACAGGATTGCCTTTCTCATAATTCCTTGTTACAAATAGAATATATTACTTCCTCGGTTTCATTTTATATGGCATTCTTTCTTCTCATGCTGTTCCAAAAAGAATGATACTTTTCTGTATTTACATACTTTCGACTTTGAGCTTCTTATTTTATTCTTAATGGCATGCTCTTATAGTCATGTGCCAGTCAAAACACCACCATATATAATGAAATTTGAGAGTGAAGATTGTTGTTCCGATTTTATGGACGCTTCTATTGTGTTCTGCTATCACAGCTGCTAAGCTTTGGTTGGTTCAACCATCTTTGGGTAAACTGTGAAATGGTTGTTGCTAGTCTATTCCATGAGTAGAAGTTTAAGACCTGACCAAGAACATTCTTCGAGTGTGCTCATCATCTTTCTGCGACCTAACAAATTTGCTCTGGTATTGACTAATAAATCGACTTATGTCTTCTTCATAAACCATATTTAGGTGTAGAAACTTTCGACATTGATCTGAAGGAGCAAAAGGTGACTGTGAAGGGCAATGTTCAACCAGACGCTGTTCTCAAGACTGTGTCGAAGACTGGAAAGCCAACATCTTTCTGGGAAGCAGGCGAATCGGCTCAAACAGAAGCTGTTAGTACAGCTTGATGGTGTATAATGGCTTGGAAGTGTATGTTAAGGCTTGAGCAATATATGACTTTATCAAGAATTCCCCCATGTAATAGTTGAAATCAGAATTGCAATAAGTTGTTGAGAATTTTAGCGTTATTTTCTATGATATAGATGGCGAGTACATTGATGCAGGGCGGCTCAATGCCTTTTAAAAACGAGGCATACACCTTAGGCCCTCAAATTCGAAGGCTCAATTTTAGTAATAATAAAATTATGATCAACTTGTTATGATCCAACTTCTCCAGTCATGATGACACCTACTATAACCAGTAGGTAAGTTAATCCGTACCCAGGACGACAAGTAATGCCTACAAGGGTAGGATTAAACAACATATAACACTAACAATAGGAAAAGATAGAAACAGAAGCAAACCAAAAACTATATATAATGGAAACCCTCCTAGAACGTAGAAGTTATGAGTACATAGTTGTCTAATACGAACAAATACAAGTGTGGAACTTGGAATCAATAAACTAATTAAACTGAAATCGAGATATTCTTGTTTCGTGAAAAAAAAAAAACTCCAAGAAAAGCGGTGTTGGTCGTTTGAAAATAATGTGTATCATTTAATAGGTTATCACCAACGGACACATAGAATTCGAGCTCAAACAGAGTCGGTCATACATATTCTGGATCCTAAAATCCTACTTTGTGACACATAAACCCTAAAGAGAGTGACTTCCGCCCTTTACAAAAACAATGAGTATCATTTGATAAGACCCTAAGCTCAGGGGAATTGGAAACTATTGTTTCTTTTCTAAAACGACACTGTCCGTTGATTTCCACGACAATGTTTGCTTATTGTCACCAGGGGACCCACAAAGTTTGAGCTCAAACATAATTGGACACACATTTTGAAAAATTTATAGATACACATGAAAAAGCGAGAAACTCATGAATTCCTGTTTCGTGACACATAACTCCAAAAAGAATTCCTATTTCGTGACACAACTCCAAAAAAGTGACTTCCGCCTTTAGAAAATAATGATCATCATTTAATAAGTCAACACCTATGAACCCACAAAATTTGAGTTCAAACAGAGTCAGTCACTGATCTTTGACGTATTATACACTCAAGTGTCGTATTTTAACCATGTTTTAGCTTAAATTTCGAGAATCAACTCAGGTATATTCACGTGTTTTGAGCATTATTGATATGATAAACTAATATATGTGATTAGACATGTTTCAGGTTAAAATACAACAAGAATCAACCTAAAATAGCAAAAGTAGAGCATCGTGGACGAAAAAAAGACTTTATATGCGGTGAAAGAGTTAGGTAATTGAAAACACAATTTCAAAAAAGAAAAAATAACTTGTTTTATATGTTAATTACAGTAATATATTTAAATTAATCATAATATAAAAAGTTAATTAGGAGGAAATTAATTAGTGATCACGATTCACGAGTGAGATTCCTGTATTTATCCCAACATATAAGTCACTTATTTAGTCAACAATTTATTGTTGTGACCTTGACTTAAAATCTTAGAGCATGAAGTGCACAAATCAACTTATAAAAATGACCAAATATATTAAGCTAAGCATGAAAAATAGGAGTAATAAATTACATAAATTCAAAAGTAATAACATTGTAATCTAATTAACAAGGTGATTGTTGCGATTCTGGCCTTTGAGGATGAGGTAACACATCAGGAGCAGTATATATCATGTATCTAAAGATACTTAAATACAAACATAAGCTCAACGCCAAGATTCTAGCGACCAATGGTCCACACGTCAAAAAACAAAGAGCCTGCATTGCATATCCCAGTATAACATCTAGTGCACCAATATCATATGCTAAGTGCATGTAATAGACAAAGAGATAAAATAACCCGGTGATTGCAAGCACTAGACATAGAGGACCAAACTTGGAAACGTAAATTTCTTCTAAAGAAAGACCTCCATGCTTGACCACCAAAAAATGATGCCATGTTGAAAGAATTAACGCGGGAATGAAGTCAATAATAAATATCCATATTCGACCAATTAATCGATAGGGAGTGTAGAGGTTACATGGAATAACGATAGAGAATATTGCGCATTGAACTGCGAATATAATTGGCATGGCGAAAAAGAGAAAATTTTTACTAAAATTGTGAGGAATAATCACAAAATTTGCCAAGGACAAATATGCAAACCAAGGAGGGAAGACAAAAAAATTGCACCAAAAAACGCCAATTTTAACTTCAGGAGTGGGAATATTGGGAGATATGTTATCAACAACTTGAGGCATGGTAAAACGCCAAATTTGATTTGATTAATATATTTGACTTCATCGTTGGTGGTTGTTATATAATAGTGAAAAATAATGTTATCCTTCTCCTATTATTATTATTATTATTATTATTATTATTATTATACTTTGGGATATTAATTTTATCCTTCTCCTACTATACTTGGGATGACACATATAATAAATAATAAATTACCAAATTCAACCTTTTGTTATCACTTCCGTATTTGAATTGAATTTATTATTGCCATATTTGCCGTGTTGCCTATATTCTTATATTAAAATAAATATTCCTAATTTTATGGAAACTTCTCTTCCACTAAAGTTGGCCATTGGTTGTTAAAGTTGTAAGTATTCTAATTAATTTTTTTTTTTACCTATTATATTCTCAATTAAATGATTAATTATTATATTAAAATAAATTTGCTCTGGTATTGACTAATTATATATCGACTTTAAGTCTTCTTCATAAACCACATTCAGGTGTAGAAACTTTCGACATTGATCTGAAGGAGCAAAAGGTGACTGGAAAGCCAACATCTTTCTGGGAAGCAGGCGAATCGGCTCAAACAGAAGCTGTTAGTACAGCTTGATTGGTGTATAATGGCTTGGAATTGTATGTTTTTGCTTGAGCAATAGTTGACGTTATCAAGAATTCCCCTATGTAATAGTTGAAATCAGAATTGCAATAAGTTGTTGAGAATTTTAGTGTTATTTTCTATGATATAGATGGCAAGTACATTGATGCAGGGCGGCTCAATGCCTTTAAAAACGAGGCATACACTTTAGGCCCCCAAATTTGAAGGCTCAATTTTATTAATAATTCAATTATTATCAATTTGTTATGACCCGGCTTCTCGAGTCATGATGACGCCTACTATAACCAACCAGTAGGTAAGTTAATCCGTACCGAGGACGACAACTAATGAGTACAAGGGTAGGATTAAACATAAACAACATATAATACCAACAATAAGAAAAGACAAACGGAAGCAACCAAAAACTATATACAATGAAAACCCTCCTAGAACGTAGAAGTCATGAGTACATAGCTGTCTAATACGAACAAATATACAAGTCACAACTAAAATGGTACTACCCCCGAAACAGTGGCGGTCAATCCTAATACATAGTTTATAAGAAGGAAAGCAAGAATAGCTAGGTACCTGCCCCTAATTCGCACTAATCATCATGAATTCACACATTCATGCTCAATCTAATTAGAAAGAAAGTCGTAGCATGCTTGTAGGCTGACCGCGTGCGCTCCAAATCACAAGACCAGAGCTTTTCCTTTCTGAACGACCTTCGAACGCTGCCACACTATCAATAAGTATGATCACAACGTTAGTACGGTCGCTTAGACACCAAAATCACATAAAACGGAAACATACCAATTTTAGAGTCAATCGGGAAATGTGGGACCACGCCAGAATTTCTGGAATTGACTCCGTTAAGAGGTCCTAAGCTATGCCTCTAGGTGATGCAGAGTGCTAGTACCAACTACCAGCAGTGATCGTTCGTGCCATCTTTTGCAACTTGTGGATATCAGAGACGAGGGTGAGCACTTGTCGCCTGGATCATCCTGTCTCCTTTTGTATATATATTAGCTAGTCTTTTGCCTTTGAGACAACTTGTTGTGGTCCACTTTTGGGACTTGTATTTGTTCATATTAGACAACTTTGTACTCGTGCTTTCGAGGTTTTGGGAGGGTTTCCATTGTATGTAGTTTTTGGTTTGCTTCCGTTTCTATCTATTCTTAGTGTTGGTGTTATATGCTGTTTAATCCTACCCTTGTACTCATTACTTGTCGTCTTGGGTATGGGTTGGCTAATTACCTACTGGTGGGTTATAGTAGGTGCCATCATAAATCGAGAAATCGGATCGTAACAAGTTGATAATAATTTTATTATTACTAAAAACTTGACTTTCGAATTTGGAGGCCTAAGGCGTATGCACATCAACATATAATGACAATATTAACCACTACCAGTGGCAGTGAATTTACATTTGATAAACACGTAGAGAAGGTAGCAGAAAATTACAATTTTTGAAAACACAAATGTAACGCAACAAAATAACAAACAAATTCAAAGCAAACACTATTTTACATACGACTAGACCAGACAGAAAAGTGTATGCAGCATAGGACAAACTTTTTTAAAATATTTTTTTCTAAATTCATCAAAGCCGAAAATAAAAGAGGCAGACTTTTCAACTAGACGATTACCGACTAAACACATGAGAGACTACATGAAAGTTTGAATTTGATTTACTAGCAAAACCTGAAACATCAGGTATTTACATTTGATTTGAAAAAAGAAAACGTGTCTAGCTACCTCGAGCGTGTCTGCATCATCACCATGCATTATCACCAAGATCAGAAGTATGCATCACTGCCACGAGTCTGAGCCTGAACCGCCAATCTAACCACCTCGATATCATATCCCACAGATGTCCTTGCATGCGTTCTTCAAGCTGCTGCAGATTGTGTATTGTTAATTGAAAAATAATCCACCGATAATGGTCGAAGAAATAGAGAGGCAAACAATGCTGATCCAATAGCATATATGGATGCAAGCATAGCCCAATTATTGTAGCCTTCTTAAAAAAAAGGGCACAGAGATTCCCGCAACAATCAATTGGAAGATTGTGTATTGTTAATTGAAAACTTGAAAATTGAAAACTTCTACTTGATATATGTTAATTGGAAAATATAATATAAAATTGTTATCACTAGAGAGAATTGAAAAATTGAGAGAGAATTAGAAGATTTGAATGTAGGAAAAATAAAGAAATGTGTTGGTATTTATAGGAAAAAGATTGTGTATTGATTTTTTTTAAAAAAAATACAGTTTTGGCCACTTTTTCAGAAAGTGACCGATCTGGGCCAGTGCACCGGTGGACCACATACCGGTCCCTTATCGGGACGGCCTTATCGTCCTAAGGATAAGTAATATCCGGACCGACCACCCCATTACTCCATTAGTATAAGGAGCCGACTGCCGATTCGGACTATACCGGTCTTGGGTCGCTACTTTAGTAATAATTTGCACGTAATTCGTCCTCAGAAAATATGTTTTAAACCCTATCAAATTTTTGTATGTGTGATCACTAATTAGTACACATTTATGAACCCAAAAGTATAATTTGATTAAAAAAAATTATTTTCCCAATCTGCATCAGATGTGGCAATTTGTTGTACTCTAAACTAAATTATGAGACTTTAATTACAACTTTGACATCTACTCTCAAATTTAGATTATTTAAATAACTTGATGTGTAAAATATAATACCAAATTAAAATACCGACTTGACAAAATAAATTGCAAATAATATAAAACGAAAGAAAAAAAAGATTAAAATAACAACTTGTATGATTATTAAATAAAATAATAAAATCACCTGGTGCAAACATATAGTCCAATTCTTATACTGCACACATGTAAAACCTTTCATTTTGTATCAATTGGAAACCTTATAAATACAAATATCCAGAAAATCATACAAAATTTATAAAATAAAAGGTCTAGAGCTTTACTAGAAAATAAAGAAAGTAAGTATTCAAACAATGCTTAAACTTGACTATAAGAACCTGATGATATACCGATTTCCGAACATCCCAAAAAACGTATGTTGACCTCTTCATTAGTTTTCCAAATCAAATCTGACCCATCTACAAACCAAAATAATTTGAAAGCAAGAACATATCAATTTAGAAATGAAAAAAGAATAACTATTTATAATAATATCATATAATGATTATAAAAATATTCAAAGTTCTAACATTTAAAGGAAATAAACGGAGAATTCATCTCATTACTGCTTTCTCTAAGAAGAGAAAATGATGATTAACAAAAATACGTAAAAAATGATATTTCGATAAACATAAACAAATAATTAAAAGGATAATAAAAGAAAATGAAGATTGTCAAGCTCTCACAATAAAAGATATAAACTTGGTAAGAATATTTTTGCCCAAAAATAAAGAGGGTAAAACAATTGTGTTATAGCATACTAATGAGTGTAGATTATTATTTTTTATTTGATACACCATTTAGGCTAATTAAATGTAAAACACGAGAGGAAAAAAAACAAGGAATAAATGAAAAAAAATGGAATATGAAGAGGCACAACAATTAATTAGTAGTATGATTGATTTTTAAGAGATTTATACACATTACACAAAAAAATAAAGAATGAAGCGGCACAAAAATTAGTTAGCAGTATAATTATTTAAAATTAATACACATTAAAAATCATTTTATTATAAATTATGAAGATGAAGGAAAGGCTAATAAGAAAATTTGAAATTTTTGGATGAAGAACATGACATGGAAGAGACTAAAAGACGCCGAAAATGCAAAAATATGATATTATAATTTATTGTAAAATTTTCATTTAGGGCCTTTCCACTTGTCAAAATAACTATTCATGAGCCTTGATTTTCAAGTCAAACTAAAACATAATACTACGATAAATACAACTAATATTATTACTTTTTTTTTTTTCAAAAGAAACATATTGGATAGCAATATTATTATATGAAACTCATATATTTAGATGAAAATCTTGTGTCAGATGTTAGAAGTTTGATATTTTTAATGTTTGATGAAAAATAAACCTTTTATTATATCAGAGGAATTAATATATTTTAATTACTAAACATAAGTTTTAATAATAAAAAAAAATTAGCTATAGAAAAAGATACGTATAAAAAAATATATTACAAAATGTCACATTACTTACACTTGACATGTTAATCAAATTACGTATAATTGTCAACCTAATAAAAATGGTAACCGATTCACTATACCAAAGATAAATTCTAATGACAGTGCAATTATAATGTATGTGTATATAACTCAAATTTATTTATTATCAGAAAAAAGTCAAGACCTTATAAAACTTATAATAATGAGTTGACATTCAAATATTTTCTATAAAATGAGATCATAGTGGTTAGTGGCTACCAAGTAACAACTAATAAAATAAAAAACCAAACTCAAACTTCAAATGGGATTTGTTTATCCATTTTCAACACTTAAGATGCTACCAACTATTCAAAATAAAAAGCATACTAAACTTAAAAATTGAATATTTTTTTTATCCATTAAGAAATGTATTTAACTTATATATATCGACAGTATAATAAACTTTTACCTTATCAAATGTACGTTAATTAACCTATTGTAGGAGGTTACTAGTCACACTTATCATGGACCATTACATGTAGTTTACAAGTTAAACTCGAAAAAATTATCAGTTTTTGATCATTTAGAATATATGCACTTTACAACATGAATCATTTGAGAAATAGACGTATGTGTTCTGTAATCCCCTAGTATGTGAAAGAGTGAGAAAGTGTTTTCGTATCCAGAGGTTGATGAAAGATTGACTTTCTGCAACAACTTAACGGGATTCCCTTCTTTGTTTGTTTGACTCGAAGGAGAAGTGCCCGTTGAGTTCTTAAGAATCTAGTTGTGGAACTCTTCAAAAGTCATACAAATTACAGGTAAACATGTTCTGTTTTTAATATTGACAAAAGATTCCATAACAACATATTTGCAAACTATAAAATGTTCCATGGTGTTACATAAATTATCCATCATTCACTTGATTAAAGCGCGAAAAAAAGACATAGTAGCTAGCTGAAAAAAAGAAGAAGATGGATTCCAAGTGCTATAATTGTTCTGTTTTTGTACTTGTTTCTTGTTTGATTTTGTC